ATATTTAATGAACCATATACCATCGCCAAGCCCATTTCTTCGATCCCGTTCCATCTTCAAAGATGATAAAAATTTCCTTTGATGATTGGTTAGATCCGTAGTAATCCATGCATTTTTCCAGCGAGGAACGTTCAGTAGTGATTTCTTGGATTTTAGCACCGATATGACCGCCCGAGGAGAATCAAAAGTGATTCTAATAGGTCTAGGTCTATTGGATTGTTTACCTAACCTAGTAGCTGATGAAATATTTACATTAATATTTAAATTCTTAATAAGATCAACAGCCAAATCTTCTTCATTACTATTGGACTCATCAATATTAAAAATTATTATATTACATGATTTATTATCTCGTTCTTGGATTTCATCAACTAAATCTATACTAGATAAATCACATATGGGATTTAGGGACTGTGAAGGATTACCAGAATTTTTTTTGAGATTATCAATATCTTTTTTTAAATCTTCATTTTCCTTTTTCAAAGCACCTATTTCGATTGTAAGAGTATCTAATCGAGCTAAAATAGCTGATGACGTATTCTCCTGTGTTAACAGTTTAGTGTTAATTGCTTGAATGTCATTCCGCAAAAATTTCAGAGTGTTCATAATATCCGTGAATGAATAATCCTGTTTAGCTCCAGTTTTAGTTTTAGTAGTAGGTGATTTATTCATTATAAAATATTATTCGTAAATGATAAATAGCTTCGAGGTCGAAAACTCAAAAGATAAAGTTATGTGAAGAATTCATTCGAACGAGTATTAAATATAAAAATATATGGGTGAACACTTATCAAAAACGATAGTAACACAACAAATCCAAACGGAAAACGATTAATACGATTTGTACATTATCTATATATAATACGGTATGATTAATACGACGCACAAACAATCAAAACGCGATAAGAGACGAACCACCGATACACGTCTAACCTTTGTGAAGGCTGTAACTGTACTGTAGGATTCGCTCGTGCTGGACGGAGTCGTCTTCCCGGCTTGGTCGGTCCCGGGGGCCACAGAGCAGGTTCTCCATGTCCCCATGCATGACCGCTCGTCCACCGACGAAACACCTCATTGGATTACGAAGCTCACTCCACTGTGGGCAATCGAAGATGGTGTGCTCCGCGGTGTCTTCGGCAAAACCGCAGTAGCAACATGAAGCGTCCGGGGACCTGTTCATGCGGTTCAAGTATTGCCGAAAATAGCCGTGCCCCGTCAATGCTTGTGTCATGTGGTAGGTCAGTGGAAAGTCAGGCCTCCGCATCCACCTAGACACGCTAGGTAGTAGGGTGTGCGTCCATCTGCCGTTTTTCGACTTGTCCCACCTTGCTTGCCATGCTCCAATGGTAATGCTCCTTTCCTGTAGCTTGATTGTCGCCACGCTGTCCTCGTCGATCCGGTCAGCTACTCTCTTTCGTTCCAGCGCCATTAAGTCGGCCGGTATGATGGACGCCAAGAATAAGGAACCGTCGGTTGGTACTGTCCTGTAGGCTCGAATGATCCTGAGTGCCACCTGTCTTTGTGCTCGCCACATTGACTCCCGATTTTTAGCCGTTCGGGTAGTCACCTCTGCCCACGATGCAGAAGCGTACAGCAGCTTACTGCCCACTACCGCCGCCAGCAATTACCTTTTGGAAGCCGACGGACCCCCGATGTTCGGCATGAGGCGACCTATGGCGAGCGCGGACTGTGTAGCCCTGGCTGAGGCGCCTGTCACGTGCGCGGTGAAGGACAGGCGAGTGTCCAGATCGACTCCAAGATAGCGGACCGTCCTGCGTACCAGTATAGCGTAGCCGTTTAGAGATAGGACGGGATCGCAATACTTCTTCTTCTTGGTTAACACTATGGCCTCGATTTTCTGCGTAGCCAGGCAAAGTCCGTGTGCCGTCATCCATCCGTCCACTGTCCTCATTGCCTCCGAGATGATGGATTCTATCTTCCATGCCGTTCGCTCCATACCAATGATGGCCACGTCGTACGCGAACGCGACGAGTTGCACGCCAGATGGCATTTGCAGCTCGAGGAGGTCGTCGTAGAAGACGTTCCATAGAACCTATGGAACCTGGCCCGAGAACCGAGCCCTGAGGAACGCCGCAAGTAACCCGTCTCTCCTGCATGTCATCTCCGACGAGCAGCGTCCTGTCGCTCATGTACGACCTTAAGAGGGCGTTCATCCAGGTAGGAATTTTCCTCCTCCTGAGCGCCTCGTCGATAAGTCGCCATGGAGCCGAATTGAATGCGTTGCGCACGTCAAGTGTCACCAGCACGCATAGGTCGCGATGTTGAACCGCACCCAACGCAACTCCTCTGGCCGCCTCGAGAACCCTGTTTACAGCGTCCACGGTTGAGAACCCGCGATGAAACTCGTACTGCCTCTCGGAACGCTGGCCCGTTCGGTCGAGGTGTCCGTTTAGCCTGGCCAATACCATGCGTTCCAGGAGTTTCCCCGTGCTGTCCAAGAGGCACAAAGGACGGTAGCTCGATGGCTCCCGTACCGGCTTGTCCTTCTCTTTGTGCAGCAGCAACAATCGTGCCGTCATCCAGCGAACAGGGAACTTCTGACCCAGCCAACACGCGTTGAAGACGTTGAGCAATACGTGTGGCTTGATCTCCGCTACCGCCTTTAATATTTCGTTCGGCACTCCGTCCGGTCCTGGTGCCTTCCCCGTTGTCAGTCTTCTGACAGCCTGGCTGAGATCTTCCGCTGTGAAAGGCCCCACCGTTGGGTCGGCCGTGTCGTCATCCTCTTCAATAAGCCGCGCTTCTTCGTTCCAGTCGATGACCGAGTGTTCCGGGAACAAGTGGTCGGCCACGGCGACTTCTGCACCCCTCGCTTCGGTGCCAGCTCTGCCTTGTCTCAATTTCTTTGTGACCACACGGTACGGTAGGCCCCACGGATCTGCCTCGACCGAGTCGCAGAGCTCGCCCCAGCTCTTAGTTTGCGCGGATCTGATTGCTCTTCTCAGGTCGCCCCGGAGGGAGAGGTAGATCCGCGCCGCTTCCTCGATTGCTGCGTTTCCGTTGCCTCTTCGCGATGCCCTCTGGTAGATTCGGCGCGCTCGATGAATGTTGCTCCTCTTCGCAGCGATTTCGTCCGTCCACCAGTGAACCTGCTTACGTCCTCATGGTGGGCTTGATCTGGCGGGCATGCAGCTGTCGCACGCTTTTCTAAGATATTCCGCCAAGAGGTCGGCTGCCTGATCACCGTCGGTCTCTGTGGTAACGATCGGTGGGGTAGAGGTACGCAGGTAATCCTGGAGTTTGTCGCTCGATAGCTTTTTGTGGGACCAACCGTGTAAGTTGGCGGTTTTTATCCCGGCCTCGTCCTGTACCTGATTCATAGTGAACTCTAGGTATCGGTGGTCGCTCGCCGATTCGAGGTCGTGGAGTACGTGCCATCCCCGGATGCATGTTGATCGCATAAGCCTGGTGAACGTCACGTCGATAACAGACTGAGCGTTCACTCTAACGTACGTCGGGATCTTGCCTTGGTTGGCTACCGTCAACCCTGATCCGACAATGAGGTCCGCCAGACGATCGCCTCTCTCATCGTCATATGCTTAGCCCCACATCCTTGATCAGCCGTTGAAATCACCGCCTACTACGATGTTGGTTCCAGGGCCTGTCGCTCTGATTGCGTCGGTCAGCTCATCCAAGAATGTGTCGTAGTCGCGCCTATCGTCGTTTCTGCTGTTGTAGCAACTGAATACCACGGTTTCCTAAATGGATTTCCATAAACTAATTGATATGGTTGGAATTTAGTTGCCGAATGTATCGTCGAATTATGACAAAACATTGCATATGGGATTTTCGTGTCCCAATTCAAAGGATCCTTCTCGGTAAAATTCCTTAAATACTCTCCAAGAGTACGGTGGCTTATTTCTAGGGAGACATTGCTCTGGGGGTGGTACGGGGTGGTTGAGGTCTGTTTAATTTTTAGGAGTTGGCATACCTCCTTAAAAACTTTGCTAAGAAATTCCGTACCACAATCCGGTTACAAGGCTCTTGGGTAGTCCATGCAGACATACAAACTGTGTCACGAAATGATGTGCCACTGTGTTTGCTTCATGATTGACCATAGGAGCTGACCATGCAAATTTAGTAAGGTCATCTTGTAGTGTTAGAATGGACGAATTCCCGTTGTTCGAACGTGGTAAGGGTCCTACGACATCGAGGAATACCTTTTCGAATGCTCTGGAAGCTGTGGTGGTAATTACCATAGGCTCTTTTGGTATTCTGGTAGCCGTTTTATTCTTCTGGCACGTCGGACACTTTTTTATAAATTGCTTAATTTGTTTCCTCATCCCTTTCCAATTGTGTTCAGCATATAATCTATTGAAAGTTCGGGTTACTCCTTGATGACCTCCAAGTGGATTGTTATGGAATTCGGATATCAAACGAAGTTTCTCATCTTCTGTTATCTCATTTTTACAGTATACACTTATATAAGTTGAAGAGTTCCTGAAAATGCAACGAAACATTCTGCGGACAGTTTCCCATTGGAGTCCATCTAAACCACATCCTATTTCTGGACAGGCTACTTTAGTGATTTGATAACTGAGGGATGCAATGTTTTGAGGCAACAAAGTGGTCCACATAGAAGTACGGAGATGTTATCAATGTCTCATACATTTCAAAAAATGTTTAATACTGAAATGGTCGTAAATTTGTGCGCCATACAAACGCCAAAGCTATTTCAACATATGCATCATATAATAAGGACAATCCGGATAAGAAGCAGCTAAAATGGAATAATTTAACGAGCCAAGAGTTTCATGCATTTTTAGGAGTGTTGATTATGTCTGGTGCAAACAATTCTAATACCGACCATACAACGGAAATGTGGCGTACAACTTCGTATCCATTATATCGTACATTGTTCGGACTACGTCGATTTTGGAATATTTTACGATTTATTCGATTTGATAATGCGCACACTAGAGCTGATTGTTTGAAGAAAGACAAAGCTGCTCCTATAGCAGACATATGGACTATGCTCAATGCAAATTTGTCAAAAATGTATAAACCTACTGAGTGTCTTAACTGTCGACGAACAGCTTTTCCCATATAGAGGTCGAACCCGTTTCACACAATACATTCCATCGAAACCCGCAAAGCATGGTATAAAAGTATGGTGGATATGTGATTCAAAATATGCATACCCACTTAGAGGACTTATTTATACTAGAAAATTAAAGAATGAACGCGAAACAAATCAAGGAGAACGAGTTGTGAAAGAATTGGCTGCTCCATACAAAGGGTCTGGTCGAAACATCACTATGGACAACTTTTTCACCACCTTGCCTTTGTCAGATTTTCTGTTATCATGGAATCTTACTACTGTAGGCACACTACGAAAAAATAAAAAATATATTCCAGCAGAAATGATGCCGTCAAAAATACGTGATGAATATTCTACGGTGTTTGGGTTTCAATAAAATTCTACACTATGTTCTTATGTACCAAAAAAGGGCAAAGCAGTTATCATGTTGTCTTCAATGCATTATGATAATACTGTCTGCGATGAAACAAGAAAAAAACCCGAGATTATAAAGTATTATAACTCAACAAAAGGTGGTGTTGATAGAATGGATCAAATGATCGGACGATATACCACACAACGACAGACAAATAGATGGTCCCTTGCATTTTTTTTCAATATCACTGACGTGGCCAGCCTTGCAGCCTACATAGTTTATTCTGAAAATAATAAAAATATACCGAAAAAAACCAGCCAACGCCGAATATTCTTGCGCCAACTGAGTGATGAACTCTGCATGCCACATATTCAAGAAAGGTCTAAAAACTATCAAATTATGAGGCACTTTTCAACCAAAATGGCAATTGAAAGTATTTTTAAATCACCTATCAATCGACTCAAACTTCTAGAACTAACTTACCAAAAAAACAGCTAGATTCCACGGGACGTATAAAAGTTGTCGGCTGTTGTAAAATGTGTTTGAACTGCGAAATCAAAAAACGCAGAAAAACGCGAAAATCATGTGCAAATTGTAATGAACCAATATGTGATGAACATTCAATAACAGTTCATAAATGCGGTAACTGTAGACAGTTATAATTATTATTCAACACTTGTATTTTTGTCAGGGGCGTATTTAGATATAATTTTGGGGGGGGGCTGTGGTATTTTCTCCAACTGAAATTCCCTAATTTAGCCTATTAAAAATAAGAGTTAGAAAATTAGTACACAATTTTAATTTTTGACATGATTTTTAATGTTTTCAAAAAATTAATAATGAAATAATATATAATAATAATAATAATACAATATTAATATAACAAATCAAATCAAATTTAAATTTCTTTCTTTGCCACTGTTAGCAAATTTATCTAATAAAATGTCATCTGGTATGTCAATGTCTCTATGAATAGCTAAAAGGGCAAGACCCACTAGTCTGGATTCTGAAGTTGTATTTCTTAAATACGTTTTGAGTCTTCTCAACGTCGAAAAGCTGCGCTCAGCTGTAGCGGTGGATACTGGTATTATAGCTAGAATTTTTAGTAATTCATACATGTTTGGATACATTAAATTATCACAGACACTCAAAGCCTCTATAGCAGTTTTGGGCCTTAAGTTGTCTTCAATATTCTTCCACTTAGCTTGCCAAATTTCGTACTCTGCTTCTATAACGTCATTTAGCCCCGGTAAATCATTTTCATAAAATTCAACAGCTTTTTTTAAATAAGAAAATGGTTTTTCAACAACAATACTTGGTAAGACATATTGTAATGAAGTTATAGTTTCATTGTGAGGTATAAATCTTTCATTTAATGCCATCATCAAATCGTCCAAGTACAGTATAAAAATAGATTTTTTGTAATATTCTTCAATGTTGTTAGATAGTACATTGTTTCTATTTCTTTGACTGCTACAAATACGAGGCATTTTTGGTTCAATATTTAACTTTTCAGCAACATCTTTGGCTTCTTTATAAATATTGTTAAATTTTAAATCAACGTTTTCTCTTATGGATTGAAACACAGAAATTACACCGGAAACTTGATTAAGAGCATTAAATAAATCAATATTTTTTGCTTTGTAAATATTTCGATAAATTATAAGTATAACTTAATAGTTTACTGGACACACAAATAGATATTAAAAAATTAAAGTTGCAAATACAATGTAAAAGGCTATTAGCTCTTTTTGAAGAATCGGTCCCAGAACATTCACTTTGCACTTCTTCTAATGCAGCTACAACGGGCTCTACAAATTATTTAAAAAGCATAACTGCTTCATGGCGTAACACCCAGCGAGTTTCACATAAAGATTTCAATTTTGTAGATTGTGAATTTGGTTTAATTTCTTTTAATTTATTTTTGAGGACTGTAGTTCGTTTTGCCGAACTGTTAAAAAAAAAGAACAGCATTCACTTATTATACCAAAAGCATTTCGAATATCTTGAGATTTTGTAGCATCCGATAAACAAAGATTTAGTGAGTGTGATACACAATGTGTGTATAATGCTTTTGGGTACATATCTTTAATAATTGCCTGAACACCTCTAAAACGACCACGCATTGCTGCAGCCCCGTCGTAACCCTGACCTCGCATTTTATTCAAATCAAAACCAATTTTTTTTAATGTTTCTTTAATCGTGTTAGCCAAACCTTCACCAGATATATCATATACCGGAACGAATGTAAGAAAATCTTCTCGAATTGAAAAAA